TCAGAAAATAAGTGACTAATAATCTGTTTTCTGACAAAAAAAATGACGAAAGAAACAAACAAAAGCAACTGATATGCATATGTATAGACAAAGAAAAGAAAGATCATAGCCATTAACCACACAAGTCAATATGAAAGGGGATAAGCTGTACCAACAATTAGTAGGAATACTGTGTATCAACATGCTTTGTTTCACTTGTTAGGAGTAGAAAGCCAATCCTATTTTTCCATGATATCCAAATAAAGGCACCAAGGAGGTGCCAAACGCATACAAAAAATTACTTAGAAGCCACAAAATCTAACACCTTTATTACACCTTCCTCATTTTACAGAAAAATTTCAACTAAACCAAAGACTTTTGGATGCAACAATCCTTGATTAGAGGCAAGGAACTCGCATACAGGAAAAGCTTACCAATCCAACTTTGAGTTGACATCTAAGGAGAAAGTTGATTCAATAGGTGTCATAGCCTCCTCTGCAGTCTGTCACAGCAAGCACATCTTAACATCAGATGATTTTCATAACCAGAAACAGGAAACTTCTGTATGGTACCAAAGCATCAGTTAAGCAGTACAAAAGGAGGTTATTTTGGAAAAGTTTCTAAATTTTCATTCTAATGTTAAATATTCTAAGATTTGCAGTTCTAGAATAATGAAAACAGATAAAAAGCCTGAACATCCCAGTCACTTAAATTGCATACCTTTTCAGTCAAATCTAGTGCTCCACTAATAATTGTTGTCTCATCATGTGTCAGTTCACCTCCCTTTCCAGCCTGAATATCCCAAGAAAGAATGGTTCATTATGAGAATAGCCAAAAGAGACTATAATGGTACTTTTATATCTGGGATCCTTATAAAAAACGAATGGTTCCTCCTGACATATGTATGTCAGTATATACCTCTCAGTTGCTTTCCTTACCTCTTGGCCGTGAATAGAAACAAGTGCCTTTAGTTGAGCCCTCCTAAATAATGCTTCGTTATGCCCCAAAACCCAGTCCAGAACCTATAAAAATATCAAGTATAAAAGAGAGGAGCCAGTAATAAAACATGGAAGGAATATATTTATTTTATTCTGGTAATGACCAATACTGACATAAGAAAACATTTTTCTCTTTTTATTCAGCAAGCACAGGCTTTCTATTCTGGAGCTACTAGATTTTACATAAAGATGTGAGCAACGACAAAGATTAAATGGCACTCAAACAGAGGTCTGAAAGGACAGCCCATTCTTGTAAGGACAGAATTAAGGTCATATCCTTCACTATCACACATCAATGAAAACAGTTATATACTAGCTACAATAGCTCATATTTCCTGGATTCATACTTTTCACCTTATCATTACAATCTGGAGGCAGCAAGAAAATAACTTAAAGACTCAAATAAATTCATCATTTCTTTGCAACATATAAAATAAATTTATATACTATATTTTTATAAGCATGCTTCTCAAGACCAGTGACAACTGAAACCACAAATTGTGCACACCGTAGAACTTTCAGTTCTTCCTCTTAGTATAATACATATGTGCTAATCCAACAGCACCAAAGCAACTTCCTACTTTCCACCATAGAGAATAGTAGAGAATTGGTAAGAAAGTGAAGCATTTTTCTTCACTGCTAACCATCAGTTCAAATTCCCAGCTAAGTGTTCAGGAGCTAATACTGAATATTCTAGGGAGTCACACCACGAACAAAAGGGGATCCCAATGACTGGTCATTGACTTTACCTTCCCTATTGGATAAGCTATTGGATAGCAAATTATCATCAAAATTCGCACTAGCCACACAAAGTTTGCACCCACAGCAAGCCCATATCTAGTGCATATTGCTTGAGGAATAACCTGAAAGAACAGAAAGAAACAAGTGGGATCAACAAAAGAGAAAATATCTCCAGAAAATTCTGAAGCTTGAAACCATTTACCTCCCCAAAAGCCAGAACAAAAGTCACCGAGAGAATAATGGCAACATATTGGTTAAAAAGCTTATCCAGGTAGATAGGGAGGGCCTGAAGATTCAAAGCACAAAAAAAATAGCTGTCACTAAAAGTGAAGCATGCTTCAAGACAGCAATTTGGCATGATAGTAGTTAGAGACAAATTTTTAAAGCAAGTTCACAGAACACATTTAGATATATAATCGTTCAAAATTTCCCAGGTGTTAGGATATTGGTGGCTTCAGATTTTGCTCCATCCAAGTGCATAATTCTGAGAATTTTATATAAAGTGATGCTTTTCATTTGCTTCCTGTATTAACGTTTACTCTTTTTAAGCTCTAGCCAAATATAACAAAACTTAGCCGTATACCTTTCCACTCGACACAGCAAGCCCTCAAAACAAGCTTACCGACTATAGAGAAATGTACGAGCAAATCATACATAGCTACAACTATAATCACAGACAAAAACCTAGAAAATCAAATTTGATCAAACAGTAATGGAAGTGAAACTCCAACCAAAATTACCTCCATTGCAGCCGCATTACACAGAAGCAACGTCACCAACAGATGGTGTTGCTTCTGAACCACCGGAAGAATAGCCGCTGAATCCAAGCAAACCACAAATAAATAAATCGAACAAACGAAATTCAAGCAATTACAAAGTATTCTACCAAGAAATTGAAGAAGAAAAAACAAAACGACAAAACTACTCCAATTGAATTAGAATTACCAGCTTGTTTCTTCTCGGTGGAGGTGCCACTCCTTTGCAGGATTTCAAGGTCAACGAGTCCGATGGACATCAATCCTAAAGTAAGACCGGACATGATTCCGGCGAACAGAACGAGAAAGCAGGAAACGCCGGCATAGGCGTACCACCACACCGATCCAAATGGTATCTCACCTTCGCCGGTTGACCCGAGTGCTGTCAACATTCTGGTCGCCATCACCGCATTTATCAGAAGCATTTTCTTCTTCTTCTTATTATTCTTCTTCCTTCTCTTTTTCTTCCCAAAACAAAAAAAAAAAAAAAAGGAAGAAAGAAAGAGAGAACTGGACGTGGATTATGAGTATCCGCGTCGGTTTTCTTGACTGTCTGGTTGTCTTCAAACAAATAATCATACCGTACTTGACCAGAAAATGGGATGATCTTGGGTGGAACGAGAGAGGGTGGACACGTGGAATAATCTAAGACATTGATGGTACGGACCTTTTCTACGACGGGTGTTCATAAGGTGGATGCGCGTCCACAGAGGGATAGCTTGGGGTAAGATTTTCCAGTAGTTAGTTAGGAGATAGGTGCGTGTGGCTGAATGTTAAATCATAAGGTATTCAGGTATTAAATTATAATGTTTATTTCAAGAATACCTTATGATTTCACATGTTAAAAATCGTTACTAAATTATAAATTAATTTTTTTAATTAAAAAAAAAAGGACTTAATCAAATGAAGAGTGAGTTTGGTTGAAATTATCAATTTAAGTAACGTATAAATACAATTATTTATTAAATATTAAAAAGTAATTTATGTAAATAAAGAAGTAACGTATTTAAATAGTTAATATTTTTATAACAATATTATTTCGTTACGTAACTCTGCAAATTATATATTTTTATATTATAAAAATTTGAACACCATTTAAGATGATAATGTAATAAATTAAATAAAATAAATTAAATGACCGATATTTGAATTAAATATTCAACCAAATCTGATCATAGAGTTCATCAAACTAACAACAAATTTTTGTTTAATGATATTATTGTATACAAAAATGCATACGCGAAAGTTCTTTTTGTTCAAAAATATAATTGTTTGAATTTGAGCTCCAATTAGATGAATTGGACTAGATGAAACCAAACATGACCCAGTCTCATCTTCGATTCAAACATAATTCAATTTGATCTTTGGTCGGGGATCAAAAATTTCAATCTTGATGTTCCTTTATTAGTGTTATCTTTTTCTGCTAGAATGTAAGCTGTCAAACTTTGCGTAATACCGAAACTTAAAATAAAAACATTGATTATACCAGAATTCAAGTTGTGTCTCTCAATACATCACCCTGCATTATGAAGAGAATGGAGGATGAAGACGTAATTCTTCTATTTCAACAACTTGAATGGCACTGTCACCCTCCTCTAGCTTTTGGACAATCCAGGTTTTCCAATTTTAACCGTAATAAATATGCTATCAAAGAACTGAACTAACTCTATATGTTATAAAGAGGCGTTTTTTCACTTACTTAGGGGCGAAAAAACAAATTGTAAATCTTGGAATGCATACCTTTCCATTCATCTCTTCAACGGCTAATTGTACATGTTCAGCATTAGTAAACCAAACATATCCATAACCTAAAGACCGTCTAGTTTCCTTCTCCGTAATAATCTTGACTGTACATTTACAAAAAAAAAAAAACAGTTAAAAATTGTACATAAATACTTCTCTAAGTTATAAACAGTCACATTTGCATGAATGTCAGCTAATTCAATAATGTGCACTTTGTGATCTCATTGTGACGTTCAAGGGTTTTCTACTACTGTAAAAAACTTTACGAATAATAAATTTTCAAATGAATTTTTCACCCAACATCAAAATATTCCTTCAATGCCAAAATTCAATAACAAGCATCAAGAATGAAGGAGCTAATAATTTTACCATGAAATTGCACATGAAGCTATTTATAGAACAAATACAAGAACTTGTTAAGAATTCTTTTATAAAGTCACACATATCTTAACTAATAGATCAAGAGAATGACTGTATGTGATGAAAGAAGTTGAGTTCATATAGAATTCTATACTAAATTCAAATAATATATCTCAAACTTCATAATATCGATAGAATTTGAAACTTAATTGTTCAAATTCAATATGAAATTCTATAAATTCTTGGTGTTTTTTTTGCCATTCCACTACCATTAACAACTTTTGACAGTAAAATAAGTGTGTATTTACAAATGATCTGTACCAAATTATGCCTAAGCTAGACACACTCAGAAAGTTAAATAACTTTTTTTGGGCATCAATTAAAAAATAGTTTCTTGTTTCAAGATGTTGTAAACCAACAAAAAAAAAATTAATCAGAATGCAAGGGGAAAAATAATTAAAACACAGAATTTTCACCTTTGCTAATTACCCCAAATTGGGAAAAGGTCTTCCTCAAGCTTCCCTCTGTTGTTGATTGTGCAAGTTCTGCATCAAGCCATTCATTAATATCAACAAGCTATTCATCAATAAATCTCAAAAAGTTCATATAGTCTTGAATTTAAGTTTTACATGGTACACAAAACTGGAAATGCAAAATTAGTAAGAACCCAATACCAAAAAAAAAAAAAGAGGTTTAAGTATTAAATGTATGAAGATTTAGGATTTAAAAAGGATGTTTACCTTTGATGAAAATTGAAGACGTTGGAGAGGAAGAGGATTCGTTGGATTCTGTCGAAGGACTGGAGATTCTGGTACAGCAAATGGATTGGAGAGAAGAGTAGGGTTTAGTTTGTGACAATAAAGCAACTGGTAATGAGAATAATTTGGGGAGTTTTGGTGGTGGAATTAGAGTTTTTGAGATTAGGGGTTTTGGGATATGGGGGTGTTTGTGGGATTGGACTGTCGCCATTTTAAATCCAGTTGCCAAAAACGGCTTGAGAATCTCTCTGTAAATAACTCAGTTCGTGACAATTTTAACAGGTGCCTTCACAATTTAATTTTAGAAATAAAATTTTCAACGAAAATGAAATAAATAATTATTTTATATATTATTAATTAAATCTCTTATTATTATTATTATTTATTAAAAATTAAACTTAAATGTATATGTAATTTATTCGATAAATAATAAACTATATAATATATTCAGGAAGATGATGATGTGAGAGCCTTTGTTTGGGTCAATGTCTTTGAAACTTAAAGGCCCATCCATCAAGATCTAATCTCGAATTTCATGGGCCAATTTCAAGGGCTAGTGTAGGTCAACTTAGGGGTAATTGTTGTAAAAGTCAAATAGATGAAGATATATATACATATATATTTATAGATATATTCCAAAAATGACTTTAAAATAAATTTCCTCATACACCCATACGTCTATCACAATATACACCATAGCTTATCAAGTATAATATATCAACATAAATTAATGTGGAATTTGGTATTGATAAGAAATGTTTTTATTATAAATAACTGTACGATATGTATATATATATAGAAAGAAAGCTAGCTAGCTAGACTCCTAATAAACAAAAAGCTAATTGCCTTTGTAATGATCATGCTTGACATCACATTTATTCTTTTCTGTCAGACAAATGTGTGTGTGTGTGTATCCACGCATAAACTTCAATCTTATTTACAGCTGAAAATTAAGGGTTTTGTATATGAATATATATATTTACGTACACATTACGTATGTATGTGTGCGTGTGTGTGTGTGTGTGTGTGTGTGTGTGTGTGTGATGCGTTTATACCTTGGCCGCATGGAATTATATATTCACAAATAGAGGTTAAATATATGGATACGCGTATATTGTGTGTGTGTGTGTGTGTGTATAAGTATATGAGCTAGCTTGGCCACGTGGAATTACAGTGGCAAATACATATATATATATATATATATTTGTGTATGTGTATGTAAAGTCAAACTATACCTGAAAACATATGACAAATAAGATGCGTAGAAGAGAACAAAATGAGAGTTGTTGACCTCGAGTTCTTGCTCTCTCTTGCTGCATCTATACATATACCTATATATAAATGAATGGTGCATATAAGCTTGTCTTTTAATTGTGAAATTTAATTATTATAAAACTCGAGGAACCAAAAAAAAAAATATTATAATTTTTAATATTTGAAATGTTCAAAAATAGAATTGAATATCCAAAACATTCATAAAACTTTTTGTAAATGATGATATACTAAAGTCATCTAGTATGTACATATGACTCATATTACATAACATAAGAAACAATTGATTTTTCTTTAAATCATTAAACTATTTTATAAAAACCTAAAATCTCTATACTAACTCATATACCATATATGTAACACTCGGCCTTAAAATTTAGGCTAAGAATAATTAAATCGGAGTAATAAAATAAATTTATTTTTAAATTTTTTGAAAAAAACTGTGTTTCGGATGTATTTTAAAATATTTTAAAAAATTAAGGTCTAATTAAAAATAAAAGATGACCTATTTGAAAAGAAATCTAGAAAATTTGGGTAAAAGTAAAAATAATAAAAATTTGACCACAAGGACCGTTACGTCAGCAGCGTGGTCGGTCGTCATACGCCGCATGATAGACACGTGGACACACGTCTACGCGGGAAGCCACGCTGGTGATCTGCATGCCAGCAGATCCAACGGCCCAAATCTCCTCCCACGTGCACAGACGACCTAGATTTGTTCCCTTTTTAAACGCGATTAAATGGTCAGATTTAATCTGATCGTGCGGTCCATATTTATTCTCCAAATAAGAGCTATCCAACAGATAAGAGATGGTCGTATGTCTCTACACGGATGGCCCAGATCGACGCAGGAATGGTAAACGTCACTTCTTAGAAAATCCTAACCCTAGCCGCACATGTTCTCGCCGGAGAAAAAGAAGAAGGGCGGCCAAAAAGAAAACTAATTGTCATCACCGCCGCACCGAAGGTACCGCCGACACTAGGGAGTTATGTGAGGTTTCCCTTTTCATTTGGAATTTGATTTCAAGCCTCCTAACATCCATATTGGAGCCAAAAAGCCAAAAGAGAAACAAGAAACTGAGAGTGGAGCTTGACGAAGCAGCCGCGGTCGCGACTCAAAAACTGTTTCAGTGAGCGCAATCCTGGTTCTAGTTCTCTTCAATCTTTCGATCGTTGTATTCTTAATACTTTTATAGTGCAGGTGGACTAAAAAGAATCCCTAGCTGTAAGAGAGGAATGGCGGAGCCACTACACTGAAAAATTCTTCTTTTGGTTTTTCCCTTTTTCGGCCAACAGAAGTCACCTAACCTCGGTTTTTGCAGGTTTTCGTATAAAACCAACCAAAACTAACCGAAAAATGGCCAGCCCAAGAGGAGATGCCGCCATGGGAGGCTAGGTCAGTGCAAGAGCACAGCAGCATCACCGTGACAGAACCATAACCCAGCTAGAAAATTTAAAAATACTTATCTTTTACCTTTTTTGGAGTATTTTAGAATACGTGACACGTGTTTTTTATTTTTACAGAAAAAATCCAGGAAACCTGAAAACCACTAGGAAGTACAATAAAAAATGAGATGTTTCGAACATCGACCCAAGATAAGAATCCTTCACCATTTTCTCCTATTACAATTAATTAAAGTTTAATAAATAATAACGGTATAATTTGTGAATATCAGAAATCTCTAATTAATTAAATACATGTCACTAGTGGAATCAGTAATCGGTCAGTATGAATTATTTATTTTAGATATATTGTTCATTGCTAGGTCGTTATTGTCGCTTACTGCTTGCACTTTGATTCATAGATTTATTCGGCCTATTGTTATTGATTGTTTAACCGTTATTCTTATTTGTTGATTGATTTGAAGTAAATGTCTTAATCATGTTTTTCTTAATTATTAAAGTATCAATTTATATTATCTATTTAAATACCGTTCCGTAGATATGTAAATATGAAATATTTGTGTATATTTGGTGGCTAGTTGATGACGTTAATATGTGTATAAAAGGCTTACCAGATATCATGAAAAAAAGTATACAGATTTGGTACATAAGGCAAACCCTACTATGGATATTATCTCAGTCAGACAGTGTAATACCCTTAATTAATTTTAATATATTTAAAATTAATGTATAAACATAATTTTTAAATTTTTAAATTTTTATTTAATGTAAAAATGAAAACAAATATGTGAAAGATGAAATTGAAAACAATTTTGAGAAAAATGGTTGAAAAATTGGGTTCTGTGAGTATTTTTCAAAGAAAAATTGGAAACTACGGGTCAAAATGTACTTTAAAAAAAATATGTCATGTAGGACGTCCAGTCAGCAGCTCCAACAAACCGGAGGGCATCGCGTGGCAAGGCACGCTGGCGCAGTGCCACACAGAAGGCCACCCTAGTAATCCGCGTAACTACGATCGGACGGTCCGGATTTGTTCATGCGCGAGTGGACGGTCTGAATCCGTTCTTCCTTTAAACGCAATCGCACGATCCAGATCAAATTGAGATGAACGGTCCAGATTCACTTCTTATTTAAATGCGATCGGACGGTCCAAATTCACTACCTATTTAATGTGATCTGACAATCAAGATCAAATGCGATAGACGGCTCAAATTAAAAGGAGACAGATATAAATAACCCATTTCATACCAAACCCTAACCCTAGCTGCCAAATCCCCTGCCGAAGAAGAAGAACCAGACGCCGGAAAGGAAGCCGACCACCTCCTGCCGCCACGCCGGAGCCACTTCCGACTGCCAAAAGAGGTAAAAAATTTCTCATTTTCTCGAAATTCAATTTTGAACACCCCATGACCAAATCAGAGAAAAGATCGAGGAATGAGCCGAAAACCAAGGGTAAAGCCCGGTGGTGCTGCCGCGGGAAAAAAAAAAATTACCTCCGATGAGACCCTTTCCGATTCCTATTTCATGTAATTTTTTTACCATTGTAATCGCCATTCCTTTTTTTACATGTTGACCAAAGTAAAACACCACACTGCGAAGGTAAGCTGATGGAGCTGCCACATCGGAAACCCTGTTGATGGGAAACCTCAATTTTTCGATTTTTTTGGGCCAACCGAGACATCTTAACGTATTTTCTCGTAGCAAAGAGTACAAAACTGGCCAAAAATGGCCAACCCAAGGTAAACCACTGTCGTGGACGGTGGTGTCATTGCTGGAGTACGGCGGCGGCGCCGTGTCAGAATCCCGAAATTGGCCGATTTTTTGTTTTAAGGGTATTTTTAAGTACTTAGAGCATGTTTTAATCCACGAAGAAAATTTCAGTAAACTCAGAGATCGCCAGTAAACACTGTTGAAAATTTAGTATTTCAGACATTGATTCGAGTAAAAATCTCTCACCTTATTTCATGTTATGGAATTAAAGTTTAATATTAAATAATATGGTACTTTGCGTAATTTAGAAATATCGGTAATTAAAGATTACTAATGGAGCCAAGACCAATTATTTATTACTGTTTGTCATGTTTAACTGATTGATTGATTTTATAGTTTCGAATGCACGATAATACACTAGAATTTGTATAATAATTCGATTGTGTTTCCTTGATGCATGTATTGCTTGTTTTATATGATTTACAGTTAATTGGAAAACTGAAAATTAAATGTAAACGGAAAATTATTTAATTTAGTGAATGAATGAATGATAGCCTTATTGGATATTCTGAGAGATAGTGGACGGACCGGATAAATAGGGAACCCTACCGTAAACGTTGCCTCATACCGGACAGGGTATCGAGAATCTGTATTTTGACACTAATACCGAAAAGGGTATAGGGATGACCCGTTTCACCCTCATATCGAACAAGGTATTGAGGGATGGTATCTCTTAACGCTCATACCAAAAGAGGTATGAGGACGACCTGTTAGTTGAAAAGGTTGAATAAATATTCACGTGTTGTAGGAACATT